TCCATCATTGATCCTTCACAAATCCGTAAAAAATTCCAATAGAAAATTATGTCGGTGAAGTCCTTCGTTTTGTAGTATTGGTCAACCAACGGTAACGAATACATTTAACACTCTCTAATAACAAGGTGTGCACATTTCAACCGTTTCAACGATACAATTTATATCGAAAGGCATGGTGCCAAAATTCAAATGCACTCATCTTCATAATTTCAACAGTTCTAGAAAAAAAAATGACGTTATACCATTTATTTAAATTTATTTATTTATTTATCACAACATAAAAACATAAGATTTTATTAGTACTTAAAATATAAAATAAAAGAAAACAGTGGGGTGTCCTGGGTGCTACTACTAGGCCATGGTTGTTGAAAAATCAAGAGTTATAACAATATATCAAAATTTAAATTTTAGTTTTATCTATACTATATTATAAAGTATTTGATAAAAAGTCTTAAAAACCATTTTTTATGCATAAAGTACTGTTTGTTGATGCATATTACTTAAAAATCAAAAATACAAGTTAATACGTACATGTTTTTAAGCATACCACTCTCATTGAAATCTTAATTCGTCCCTACAATCTCTCTAATCCAACTAACGTCCCTATAATATCTCTTTTTTAATGAGTAGATAGTCATTGTTGATTTCATATTTAATGGGTGGTTTTGACTCAATATTTCTTATTATCATCGTCAACTTTCTTTCTCCAACGCTCGGTTGCTTCTCTTTCGAGGTAAGCTTCAACCTCATGGGTTTCGACCATTGCTTCTGATTGATTTATGGTCTGTATCGATTTTTGTTTATTTCTTTTTGGCTCATTACGTATCGATTTTTTATGATTTCTTTGTCTGGTTCTTTGTCGGTTTAGGTTTACTTCCTCGGAGCTCGATTGTTTCTCATCCCCAAATCTTGATTGCTTCTCTTTCAAGGTAAGCTTTAACCTTATGGGTGGTTGTATTGATTGACCATTGCTTGGTTGATTTATGATTTGTACTGATTTAAATAGATTTTTTTTTATCTATTATGTTATGGAACACAAAGTTCAGATAAATCATTTGACAAAAACTCTTAAAAACCATTTTTTATGCATAAAGTATTATTTGTTGATGCATATTACTTAAAATTCAAGATCACAAGTAAATTGTGCGTAAATACAACTTATTAAAGCTCCATTTTTGAATTTGTGTAACTAATTATAGATAAACATAATTAAATATGAGATACACATCTCATTTTTAATATAAAAAAT